AAAAAAAAAAAAAAAAAACAGGAAGAAGCAAAGAGATCATGCGTGGAAAAGAGAAGGAAGAGATCATGCGTGGAAATGCTACAATCCTGTTACGGAACCATTCCGTCGAGATTTTTAACCGTTAGATCATCATGTAACCGTCCGAGATAATTGATCTAACGGTTATAAAACCCGAATGGTTCCATAACGCAACAGTATAGTTATGCATTTTGGCCAACTTATTTATCGTCTTATGCTCTTCCAAGAAGTGAAGAGGAGACTGTCACTAGGCTCTTTAAGCAAAGGAAAGAGTAACATTCTCACCACCTTTCATAGAGAAGACAGCATGAATCTACATGTTCAGAAACGTACCATATTATGCCAAAGCCCCAGCGTACGGTTTATAAGGAAGAACAGACTTTCGAAAACATGACCTCACAGAACCAGATCTATCTCTAAAAATGATAAAAGCACAAAATTGTCCCATCTTTCTTGGCTAATGTTCACTGCTTGGTCAAATTCCTAACAACGTAATGGAGGATGCCACCGTGGTCGAAGTATGCTAGTTCAACCTGTCAAAGCAAACGAGTCATAATAAAATATTAGTTTCCAAAAATCGATAACGGAAAAATTATAATACTACTGGAAGACTTAAAACACGAGTCCATGGTGGGATCGTGGGTTTACCTCAGTGTCGAAGCGTAATGTGCATGTAAAAGATTTTCCGTCATCGGTTGTGACAGTTACATCCTGTCCGGGCCTTATGTCGCTCGTTTTTGTGGGGAGGTTGATTGTGTAGCGCTCAAGACCCGTCAAGCCAAGGGTGTCTGCATCCTCACCGGGCTTGAAGCACAGCGGAATAATACCCATCCCTACCAAATTACTGCGGTGAATCCTCTCAAAGCTTTTGGCTATCACCGCTTTTACACCCTGATGCACCACAACACAATAGATCGTCACAACGAGAAATCTTCGAGAAAATAAGTGGTTGATTACGGAAATAAAATCAAGGCTCAATCCCTTTTTCTTGGTTTAATGAGGCCAAAGTTCAAGGGCAGCTTTCACAACTAATCCTAAAACCCATCAACTGGAAACTACACAAAACCACTCACCTGTAGCATTGGACCTTTAGCAGCCCAGTCTCGAGAACTACCACTTCCATATTCTGCTCCAGCTAGAACAATCGTATCCTGCCCTGCCGACTTGTACCTCTGTCGAACCAATCACTCACGTAATCAGATAATTATTGAAAAAAAAAAAAAGAGGAAAAATGAAATCCTGATTTATTATCTCTTCAGCTTTTGTATACTCCAATTCCGTATCATAATTAGACCTATACACTTATGCAGAGAATCATTCAAATCCGTACCATTGCAGCATCATACACATAGAGTTTCTCCCCACTTGGGATGTGAATAGTCTTGGGGCCTACTTCACCGTTCAACAATTTGTTTACTATCCGAATATTGGCAAATGTACCCCTCGCCATCACTTCATCATTCCCACGACGGCTACCGTACGAGTTGAAGTCCTTGCGGTCGACCCCACGATCCATCAAGTATTTTGCGGCCGGGCTATCCTTATGGATGCTTCCAGCTGGGGAGATATGATCAGTGGTGATGCTGTCCCCAAAAAGCAGCAAGCAGTATGCATCCTTCACTCCTCGAGGTCCGGGGGAGTCCATGGACATGCCACTGAAATATGGAGGCTTGTGGATGTACGTTGATTGGGGGTCCCACTGATAGAGGCTAGATGAAGATACAGACAGCTGGTTCCAGAAATTGTTGCCCTTTGTGATTGCCTCGTAAGTGCTTTTGAACATTTCGGGAAGCACGCTGGATTGAACAACCTACAGAAGCAAGTTCCATTTAGACATAAATCTTTACAGGAGTGCCCATGATTCATGACAAGAAAAATGAACAAAATTAGGATTACCTCTGCAACTTCATCACTGGTGGGCCAGATATCCTTGAAATAAACAATCTTTCCATCTTTTCCAGTTCCGATTGGCTCTTTCTCAAAGTCGATGTCAACCTGGGAGAATGAATAGTAGCATAAGGATGAGATGGTCAAGCAACAAAATGAACTGTGTATTTTACACAAAACACAGAGTAACATCACTCGTAAAACAAAAGTCCGAATAATTTATTGCCTCAACCCTGGGTTGACTGCAACTGATTGTTCACAAGAACAAACCTAATAGACAATCTGAACTTAGTTGGAAAATCATTGTCAACTCTGTTAAGTTGCACACAGACAGACACTTTCTGAGTTGAAATTGATATTGTAGCAGCATACATGCTGGTAAGTCTTACAACAACAGAGAGAACCAGCCAATAAAGAACTTACCAAAATTCAATGTTCAAACTGCAAACACAACTTAAATGTATGTTAAATAGAATTAAATATTAAATTTCTTCTCGCTTGTAGTTTTGAAAGAACATCGATAAAAATAGAAGCCATAGAAAAGCAAAGCTTACCGTGCCAGCAAGTGCATAGGCCACAACCAATGGAGGTGAAGCAAGATAATTTGCTCGAGTCAGAGGATGAACACGACCTTCAAAGTTCCGATTTCCAGAAAGTACAGCAGCAGCAACAAGGTCTGAAGACAAAGCATGAGAAGTTCATAAATATAGCAAAAACACCATGATGTAGAACCATAGCTTTACAGCTAAAAGAATATCCTAATCTTGCATTAGAAATATCTTTACTATTTTATGCTCATCTTTAATCCATCAGAAGCATAAGATTGCCACGCATGCTGGAAGCATGATATTCTATGAAAACCCATGCTTCAGTTTCAATGGTATATATTGTAAGCATAAAGTAACCACATACGATCGACGGTACACATCATCAAATCATCTGTAAAATACTACTAAAATGGTGCTTCTAGAAGCACGCCCCCAAAAGGCTCAATTTCTACAGTAAGCAAAAAAATGTATCTGCTGTCAGATCAAAGTGCACAATATATTAGAAGATGGAGGGTTAAAATAATTTCATCTTTGACCAAGGGACTCCATCCACACAACATTATCTTCAAGTTCAACCAACTAGATATTGAAAAAAAAATTACACCAACTTCAAAGTATTATATAACCTAACATAATATCGTACATACCGTTATCAGCTATAGCAGAAGCGACTGATTCATCAAGATCTCCAGAATTACCAATACAGGTCGTGCAACCATATCCAACAATATGGAAGCCTTGTTGGTTTAAGTACTTTTGCAGGCCACTGAAAAAGGGTACAACATGAATCCAGTAAGATAGTACACGTCAAGCGATGAGGGAAAATAATAAGGTTATGTAATAAGAACAATGTCTGAAAATTAATACCTCTGGAGAAGATACTTTGTTACAACTCCAGAACCTGGGCCAAGACTAGTTTTAACCCAAGGTTTTACCTGTCAAATAGTCACCAAACACCACATTGACATCAGATAAACATAAGACAAAGACATGATGATCAGAATGCAAATCAAAGAAAAGATTTGGCATGTATACAGGATTTGGCTGAAAATGAATCACACGTGGAAAATAGAAAGGAGGAACTAAAAATGAATGAGGATGAAGAACCTATGCATCGTATGCCAGGATCCCCAAAATCCACTATTAAATCTAACCTCTAATCCAAGTTCACACGCTTTCTTTGCAACGAGACCAGCTCCAAGCATCACACTTGGGTTCGACGTGTTTGTGCAACTTGTAATAGCTGCTATAACAACACTTCCATGCTTAAGTTCCGCAGGCTGCCCGTGAAATGAAAAATTTACAACTTTCTCCTGTTCTTCCTTTGGTACAGCAAACCCCTTCAAGAATACAATCGAGAAACTTGAATTTTTGTTATCTTTTCAACTTACCAGAGGGAAAGATATCACACGATGAAGAAATATAGCTACAGGATTATAAAACTTGCAAAAGCAAATAATAAACCCGCCAAACAGCTGTTAAAATATAGAATGCTTCTAGTGGGGTGTCAGGCATAATATTACTAATATATATTTTGTCTTGTGGAAGTTCGCCAGACATGATATAATGAGGGAAATTGAACAATTTATATCTTACCTTGAAACCAACTTTGTTGTTCAGACAAGTATGCCAATCGGACTTCATATCTTTCAGTGGAACCTTATCGTGAGGCCTATATATTCACAACATAAGCACACATCCTATATATTCACTAAAAAAGAAATAAGGCCACACTAGTTGACTTCCAATGATCTCGCAATTTATAGAAGTACCTTTTAGGTCCTGAAACACAGGGTTCAACATCAGCAAGATCCAACTCCAGATAAGATGAGTACACTCTGTCTTGTTGAGGCTATACCAGGGGAATTTGTTACAGTTAGCTCATATTTATGTCGTCCAAATTGAAAGCATCATACAGAAAATGGAAACAACTTTTACCTCATTGTAGTCCAGAAACATGTTGTTGGCACGTAAATATGCCTCAATCATTGCTACCTAGAAAAGTTGAAGCAAGAATTACTATAGAGGAGCAGAAAACATTTCAAAACACAAAAGCGTCTTCAAAGAATGTGCAACTGACCGTCTCATCACTTCGTCCAGTCAATTTCAGATATTGTAAAGTGACATGATCAACAGGGAAGAAACCCATGGTGGCTCCATACTCGGGAGCCATATTTGCAATAGTTGCTCTATCAGCTAATGGTAACTGACCCATGCCTTCACCTAAAGACATAAGAAAAGGGTGTAAATGTGTGTGTGTAGCAGTGGCAACAGTACACAAGATGACGACATATAACTTTTCACGCATTCGGAAAGAAGTGTACCATAAAATTCGACAAACTTCCCGACCACACCATGCTTTCTCAAAATTTGGGTCACAGTCAAAACCAAATCAGTAGCAGTAACTCCGTCACGCAATTTTCCGGACAACTTAAATCCGACAACACCAGGCAGAACCATGCTCATTGGCTATCAAATTCGCGTAACAGAAGGAAAATTCAGATTACAAATTACAATATGAAACAGATTCTGGAAAAAGTTAAGGAACAAGCATAAGTAACTGCAAAATATAAACTCAACAACCTCTATCCATGTGGATGTAAGCATTATCCAAGTGATGGGGATAAAAGGACAAGGAAAAAGAAAGCAAGAACCATTTAAGGCAGCATTATTGCATTAGTTTCTGAAGAAGAAAAAACACTGAAATGATTAAAAAAAGGTAGATGATAAGAAAAGCATTGGATAAAGTCAGTTAAATGCCTTTATAGGCCCCCAGATCCATAACACATGGCTAGCTGAGATAGTCCAAGAGTTATCCTTGTCAAGACTTCCTCATATATATACAGAAAATATTCCTGACAAAGAATCTTCAAAGTAAAGAGAGCACAGGTACCTGGCCAAGCATTGCTGCCTCTGCTTCAATTCCTCCAACTCCCCATCCAGCAACACCCAGTCCATCAATCATTGTTGTATGAGAGTCGGTGCCAACAACGCTATCAGGGTACAACATGCCATCTGTGTTAAAAACAACCCGTCCAAGATACTCAAGATTCACCTGCAAAATTATGAAGTATTAGGCCGATCAGCATCAAAGGTAACACATATAATGCAACCACACAGTGTTAATAACATCCTACTTAAGATATCAAGGTAATTACATCTCCCATAACAAACAAATACAGCAAGTAAACGTCATTATACCTGATGGACAATACCAGAACCAGGAGGCACGACAAGCATATTGCGGAAGGCCGATGATCCCCATTTAAGAAAAGCAAACCTCTCTTTGTTTCTCTTGAATTCAAGGTCCATGTTAGCCTGCAGGGCGTTTTCTGATCTAGCAACATCAACTTGAACAGAGTGGTCAATGACAAGATCCACTGGAACCTAGATTTTACATAAAAAAAAAAAAAAAAAAAAAAAAAAAAAAAAAAAAAAAAAAAAAAAAATTATAAAAAATAAATAAAATACAAAAGGAAAGTGAGGAGTGAGGAACATCTATCAGGCCATGCCACTCCAAGTTTAACTAAAATATTAATCAGATAACCGAGCAATGTTATATCCTTATATTACCAAACTTTCATATGATGTACAGTTAATTACACCAAGAAAATTATAATGCTACCAATGGGATATCCGTAAAAGGTAAAAGAGTTCCATTGCCATCTTATTATGGTGATATTGTTGAAAAAAAAAAACATACAAGGGGATTAATCTTGTCTGGATCACTACCAAGATCTTTGATAGCTTCCCGCATAGAAGCGAGGTCCACCACAGCTGGAACTCCAGTAAAATCCTAAAAAGTAGAAGGCAAGCATGTAAACAAATTATTAGAAAATTCATGCAAGAACTTTTCATACTTCATCACACCTATAGCATCTATATCACCTGTAACAGGACACGGGCTGGCTTAAAGGGAATCTCAACTTGTTTAGGAGCAGAATTTTCCCAATCAATTATCTTTTCCACATCCTCCTTAGTGACTTGGAAGTTGTCACAATTCCGTATAGCTGATTCTAGGAGTATCCTGATTGAATATGGGAGCTTGTCTGCAACAAAAAGAGTACAAAAAGTAGCACAAAATCACAAGGTGCATCCAAGACTTGATGATTTCATAAATGTTTCATGAACTAACTCTTTACCAATTCTAGGGTCATTCAGAGCAGGAAGGCTGTAAAACTTTCCAAATTCACCTCCTCCATGCTTGGGGAGACCAGAGAAAATTTCCTTAAAAGGATGTTCAGAAGCTGCAAATATTAACTAACCATTATTATGTATCAAACCGGAATTCAAGGAATCAAGCATACTTCAATTCTGAATGCCATATCATATGAATAGAGAATCGGGATAAATCCAACACCCACAGAACTTCACCGTAACAACTGAGACTAACATAAAATAACATATCTTGAAACAAGGCCATGCACTTCAACTAGATAATAAAAATATCCGCTAAAAATATGTGATGAACTATGTGCAGAAACTCAGTGCCATAAGTCTCAATTCCAGAGTGTGTCACTGAGTTCACAAACGAAATAGAAAAGAATAGCTTGTGAAAACATCATTTAGAAACAGCATTCATATATTCCTCATGTTCAAGTCAAAGTCCAACCGTGACTAAAACTTACATTAACTCTTTGTTGTACCTTTAAACCATAATATCCATTCATGCCACCCCGTAATTCCTTCAATAGAAATAGAGCACCTAACACTTGTCAAGATTATTCGCTAGAGTACTCCCAACTAGCCAGCCCGACATGTATATGGCGACCATGAAAAACAATTTAATATCTGTGAATCTATGCCGGCCGATGATCTAATCTTAAGTTAACATTAAACCTCAAGAAACCCAACAACATAACACAATAGTAATCGAACAAAAATCATAACAAATTCACAAATCCAATTACATTTCCGTCACTGTCATGAGAACTGGATGATGAAGTATGGATGTTCATGGTGAGCGTTTAGTCGTGCTGCATGATGAAGTGCTGATGGTGATCAAGTGTTGCATGTCAGTTTACATGCTCAATGTTTCTTTTTTTATTTTGTTTTCGTTTTTTTACTGTATGGCTTGAAAGCGCATTTCTCACTTATAGAAGTGTGCTGCTTATATTTTTGTTTTTTAGTCTGTTAGGGCTTGGACACATGTTATTTTTTCATTGGCTCTTGTGAATGAGCTGAGGGAACTCGTCTCTTGAACTGGCATACATGAGCTTGCATTTTCTGCAACTCATTTTTAGTTTTAATGGAACAATTGTGAATGATGATCTAAAAATCCAATAATATCTCTCCAAAATATGTTTGAATTTTGCTTGAGTTCACCTGGTACCAAAGCAGGAAATTTGAACCGGCATGGTACAAAACAAGAAGAGAAAGCGAAGGATAATCAACAGAAACAATTATGCAAGTGATACAGATCCGCTTTCACTTCATGATTCGTATCATCAGTTTTGGTTACAAATCAGCTGACTGGAGGAGCAACCTATTTGCATTGGAGTCGAGCTATGAGGTTGGCGCATGGCGCAAAGTCTAAGCTCGGTTTCGTCTATGGCACAGTTGAAGTTCCTGAGGAAAATTCAGAGGAATTCGAGCAATATCAGAAGGTCGAATTCATGGTGATATCGTGGTTGCTTAACTCGATCTCGAAGGAAATCGTTGAAGTCTTCATTTATGTCAAAAGCTCCAGTCCAAACAGTTATGGGATGAGTTTGCGGAGAGATATGGTGAAAGCAATGGCCCGCTGAGATATCAATTACTGAGAGAGATTGCTAATTTTTCTCAAGGTTTGCTTTCAGTCACCACATATTACACCAAACTCAAAAGTCTCTGGGACGAGTATTCATGTTTAGTCTCTCTACTTGAGACCATTTGTGGATCTGGAAAGGCTTTCAGTGATAATGATATGGAAATTAAACTGATGCAATTTTTTATGGGGTTCAGGAGGCGTTTGAACCAGTTAAGAATCAAATATTTTTAATAGATCCACTACCAACGATTAACAAAGCATACTCTATGATACTGAAGGTAGAGAAACAGAAATCAGTGAAAAATTTGGTTTGGGTCCTTTGGAGTCATCTGCCATCATGGTAAGAAATGGAACTAGTAGGGGGAATGACAGTGGTGGACTGGAGGCTATAGCTATGCTAGAGGTAATGGAGGAAGGGGATCATATCCACAGAATAATGGGAAGAGGTAGAGGAAATAGGTTATCCAAGGAAGAGGGGCTAGGTTGTACTGCAGTCACTGTGGCTTCAATGGCCATGAAATGCAAGGATGCTTCAAATTGCATGGTTATCTAGATTGGTATAAGGAGTTGAAGGAACAAAGCGCTAACTCAACAGTGAATCTTGTCCTAGTGGAGGACAGTGAAGAACATAAAAGAGGAGATTCAGCAACAAAGTCACAAATGAGTAACAATCTTCTAGACATAAGTTCTTTGATTCAAAAGGAGGTGGCTAAATATCTTTCAACACAACACTGCAAGCAAGAGAAACTCATACATTTCCGCACTTTGTTGATTACTTAGGTGATGATGATTATGCTTTTTCTCTGAAGAACAAGTTAGGAAGGGAGTTTGATTATAAGCACGGGTGCCAGTAGACACATTTGCTCTGATAAGAATATGATGTGTGGGGAAGTGCACAATTTCCAATCCTATTATTGTGAATCTTCCTTATGGGACTAAAATTAAAGTGACTCTAACTGGAGAAATATGGCTGACTGACAAGATTATCTTGAAAGATGTGCTGCTGGTTCCTGATTTTAAGAATAATCTACTTTCTGTTGGTCAGCTTGTGGCAAATAAGAGGATTTGTTTTATCTTTACTAGCAATGTTGCAGTACCTTGAAGGACATACAATCATTTAATGTGGTAAAGCTTATGGAGGTCTGTATGTACTGAAGAAAGAGCATTGTTCTTTCAATATGTTTGGACAGTTGAATAAAAGAACCAATGATTTTAAGTTATGGCATATGAGACTTGGGCATAGTTCCATATCTTGCTTGGAACATATAAATTTCTTAAAGAAATGGAGTGCTGATGAACATAATACAGCCTGTGATGTATGTCATAAGGCAAAACAACAGACTTCCTTTTTCTCTGGCAGCAGGTGGTGAGCAGTATACACAGACCAAAAGGAAGTTTGAGCTAAGTTCATGTAGATGTTTGAGAACCATATCAGAAGAAATTTGTTACACATTGTCTATATGTTGACTAAAGTGGATGATTACACAAGGGCTACATGGATATTTTTTATGCAATACAAATCAGAAGTATATAATAACACTTGAAGTTCTTCATAGAAAAGGTAAAGTGCAGTTTGAAGTTTGTGTCATGCGAATAAGAACATATAATGGAGGTGAATTTATAGGAAATGAAGTGCGGACTTTGCTTGGAAATAATGGAATAATTCAACAAAGATCTTGTCCATTCACTCCTCAACAAAATGGAGTAGTGAAAAGAAAGCATAGATCAGTTTCAAGCTAATTTGAACAAATCATTGTGGTCCTATTCTTTGTTAGCTGGAGTTCACATTATTAACTCTTTGCCTTCTGAAACTTTGGGTAGGAAATCCAAAATGTTGCATGGAACTATTCCACCCGATGATTCGTTTAATGTGTTTGGATTCCTGTGTTATGCTATCAAACATGAACCACATAAAAGAAAGTTTGATGCTAAAGCTTCTCCTAGCATATTTTTGGATTATGCTTCTGGAGTTTAAGGATATAGAGAAGAAAGAAGTATTTATAGGGATGTTGTACTTCATGAAGATAAGTTTGTTTCCTTGACACATAAGTTGCATGATACAGTCCGTCTCCCAGTCCCAGTTACTGATAAGATGTCTCACAGATTTTGGCAATAAACACAACTCCAAGGTACAAGTTGATTTACCTCCCATACAAGGTTATAGTGAGGAAGCGTCCTAGACGGTTGTTAGATTATGTGGTGGATGTTCTTGAGGAAAAAGATGAATCAGCTTTATCTTTCTTAGCCACAGTGGACAAACAGCCAGTGATCCTCACTTCTATTCTATGAGCAGGCTGTGAAGGATGACAGAAGCTATGAATAAGGAGCTAGCTGCTTTGGAATTAATGATACTTGGATTCTAACCAACTTACCTATTGGCAAAAAAGGACATAGGGTCTAAGTGCATGTACAAAATTAAGAGAAATCCTGATGGTAGCATTGATAAAATATAAGGCAAGGTTAGTTGCCAAATGATACTTGCAAAAATAAGTAGTAGATTTTTTCAGGAAAGTTTTTCTCCTAAGCTTGTTTCAGTAAGGTTTCTCATAGGATTGGCAACAAAGCAGGGTTGGGACCTTCATCATATTGACAATAATAATGCTATCTTACATGGTTACTTCGATGAAAAAGTCTACATGTTACCTCCCTAAGGCATGCTATACAGAATGAGGTTTGTTCGCTCAAACGAAGCCTATATGGGCTTAAACAAGTCTTTAGTAGAGGAACATAGAATTCTCTGATAAATTGCATGCATGTGGCTTTGCTCACTCATGACCACTCATGACCACTGCCTATTTGTCAAGATAACGGGCGATCATTTTTTGGCTTTGCCAATATAAATGATGATGTACTTATAACTGGGAATCGCTTGGTTGATATTCAACATCTCAAGAGGTATTTGAATGAATTGTTCACTATCAAGGATCTTGTGTCTGCAAAATACTTCTTACGGCTTGATATTCAGAGAACACGGTAGAGTACTTTCTTGAGACAGAAGTATATCATGGATATTGTTGCAGACTTGGGACTTCAGGATTATAAGAGTGAGATTACTCCCTTTCCCTAGGGTCCTAACCTTTCTTCTCAGGATACACCTCTTCTTATTAATCCATGTTCATATAGAAAACTTTATGGGAGGATGTTGTATCTTAATTTTTCTCGGCCAGATATATCTTATGGATTCCAAAAGCCTAGCAAATATGTGCAAGCACCTACACAAGCTCACTGGCCTGCAGTCGCTCAGTTGGTGAGATATCTAAAGGGAATTGCTTCTATGGGATTATTCTATAGAACTGTACCGACTATTCATCTAGAGGCCTTTTGTGATGCTGATTGGAGCAGTAGTAGTTGTACTCTTACAAGTAAATCATTGACAGGATATCACATTTTCTTTGGGGATTCCTTAATTTCTTGAAAAACGAAGCAAAAGACAATATATCCATCGTCTGCGGGGGCTGAATATAGATCAAATGGCTACAACAGTTTGTGAATGCAATGGCACCCTAATTTGGCCAAGGACCTTTCCTTGCAGCTTCTTCCTATTACAATGGTGTGATAACAAAGCTGCCCTTCACATTACTGCTAATCCTATCTTTCATGAGCGTACGAAGCACCTTGACATTGGTTGTCATGTCGTACGCAACTTGTATAAGGAGATATTCATCAATCCGCTGCATGTTACCTCTTCTTCCCAGCCTGTTGATCTTTTCACTAAACCCCTCAGTGGTCGGGATTTTTCTAAGTTTCTTCACAAGTTGGAATGTGTTATCCCCATTCCTACTGAGGGGGTGATGAAGTATGGATGTTCTTGGTGAGCGTTTAATTGTGCTGCATGATGAAGTGCTGATGGTGCTCTAGTGTTGCATGTCGTTTTACATGCTCAATGTTTCTTTTCTTATTCTGTCTTAATTTTTTTAGTGTATGGCTTAGAAGCTCATTTCTCACTTATAGAAGGGGGCTTCTTATAGTTTTGTTTTGAGTCCGTTAAGGCTTGGGCACGTGTTATTTTCCCATTGGGTCTTGTGAATGAGCTGAGGGAACTCGTCTCTTGTACTGGCATACACATGAGCTTGCATTTTCTGCAACTCATTTTGAGTTTTCATGGAACAATGGTGAATGAAGATCAAAACATTCCCAAAGTATCTCTACAAACTATGTTAAATTCTTCTTGAGTTTACACTAAATCCGTAGAAAAATATGCTCAACACAGAGAACCACAAATATAATACAATACATAACACTATATGGTCAAACAAAATAGAGAACAAGCCAATTCAGACACCAATAAGGAACAAAAATAACAAGAAAAGAACTTCCGAATTCAAACCAAACAAACCGATTAGAAAAAAGAAAAATTAAATAATCATACCCATAGTGGCAATCTTCCGCTCGAACCGTTCGAGAACAGGAGAAACGGTCCTGGTCTGAGCTCTGAGACTAAACGGAGAACGGCAGCCAACACCGTGGCTCCAGCGCGGAGCAGAGCACCTTATCAACCGGAGCGCCGACGAGAAGCTCCGCGATCGGTAGCTGATATTTGACGGAGCCAAGTTCCTGGCAAGAGATCGAGGCGGACGAGAAAACGACTGGTTAACCGGAGAAGAAGGAACAGTGGAAGCAAACCGGACAACTCTGCAAGCTCGGAAAATGGAGGATGATGATGTCGGCGACGGAGAGCAACAGGTGGGAAAATACATGGCGATCAGCAAGAGATATATACTAAAACCCTTATCGCAGTACAAAAACGATAAACCCTGTTGATTACTATTATTTGTTTACAGGTGTCTAGCGCCCGCGTAGCGTGGCGTACAGTAATGGATGTGTTTAGTGTGTAGAAGGGACGGGTGGCCGGGTGGGAGATGGTGACCTCAGCCGACCAATAACACAATCGTTCATCTACACGACTCAACCTTACACATATTTTTTATTTTACTAGGAAGATGCACGTGCTATGCACGTAAAATTAATCACTTTTTCTTTACTTAAAATTGTTTTTATTATTAAATTTACATTTAATAGTATAATATAATTTTCATTCTATTAGTTAATAAAAAATTGTCTATTTTATAATAATCAATAATAAATGTATAAAATAATGAAATATAATATTTAATACTTTTTATCAAATTGTGACATAAAATTAAATAAAAAATATTGGTTTGAAAATTCACAGTAAAATTATTATTATTATTATTATTATTATTATTATTATTATTATTATTATTATTGTGAAATTTTAAATGCTAAAGAAATTTATGTCGTCTTTGATTTTGTTAGCCAATGATAATTTATTATGCTTAAAAATAACGACTATTATCATTGTCATCATAATATAGTTTTATAATGTCTTATTTTTGCGTTATGCTCTTTGAAAATAAGTCGAATATGTTATAACTATCATTTGTAGTTATAGTTTTTCTCATTATTAATTGAAAACTAACCAACTATGTTTGATTGTTTCATTCTCGACTATTTTCAGCATAGTGGATGTTGATCAAGTATAATATTTCATAATACTTAGATATATATTTTTATTTGGATAAAATGGCACAACAAATAAATAAATGTTTGAAAATGTCTTTAAAGTCGTGATTATTTTAAAAAAAAAAAATTAATTGAAAAATATTAGAAACATTAACATCGATTAAATGTACCCATTTCTCTATATATATTGTCCAATATTGGTTGATTGAAGGTACTCATCTCATATGTTGTCCAACATAAATTATTGTTAGAATATCACTTGTGAGTGTCCCACATTGATTCTATAGGAAAAATGAGTCTAGTATATAAGCCTAGTGGGCTACTCCTCCTATCACCAATTGGTTTTGGGATGGAACCTCACTAAGGTGCATCTAGGCTCACCCTCTTATGGTGCGCCTTCATCTGGTGGGACCGCACTCTCTTCCCCCGTTTCTAGTATGGTATAAGGTGCATCTAGGCTCACTCTCATGTTGCATCTCCTAACATTACTATGCATGCATTACTATTTTTTGTTGACGAATTTTCAAGACTATCCTAAATGTGACAAAATGAATAATTTCAATTTATATGAATTATAAAATGGTGATTCTTTCATATTTACTTTTGATATTATTTTTAATCTCGTCAATATTTTATATAGTTCTTTTCTTTTCCTTTTTTTTATTCTTTTTACTTTTGAGAATTAATTTGAATCATTTAATTTATGAATTATATATATATATATATATATAATTGTAGGTTATTACAATAATGTAATTGCCTATCTTTTCCCGCTTATTTTTTTAAGCTATTTTTAGTATGTTTCATCTATTATTTTATTTGTGTTTTTTGTAATTAATATCTAATATTTAATATTAGTTGTAACGGTCATATCTTAAAAACTAATATAATTTCACTTTTGTTAATTTGGTAAGTAAATAGTTATTTGAAATAAAATAATATATATATATATATATATATATAAATAAATATATATATATATATATATATATAGATATCGAATTTTCCTTCGGAAGAAAATTATGAAAATAAATTATAACCATATCACTTTTTTTTCATTTGTAGAGATACCATTATTAATGAAATATATATATGTATATATATATATGATAAATAATCCTACCTATCTTTTTAAGCCATCTTAATAATGTAAATTAATGTTAGTTTATAAACTTATGTTATCTTTTATCAATTTTTATTCAAAATTATTTTTTTAAGTGTTGTAAAATACATAAAAAAATTTAGTAAGGTGTATTAATTGAGATGAAATGGTTCTTTATTTTTTCTACATATTTGTGCAAACGAAAAAAATTATATTCATATTTAATATGACGGAATATTTTTCTTATAAAGTAATACCAATATAATTACTTAATTATAAGTGAAAAATTATCAATGAAATAATCTAAATGTACACGTATTTTATTATATAAATATAGTATATATATCATTTGTTCGATAATTCTCTAAAAAAGATCAATTTATGTGGTATATAAGATTTACATTGTCCATTTTATATTTTATATTTTTTCACTTTGGTAATAATTTTATTATTAATACAACATTAATATATAAATTATATTATTCATTATATTCATATAATAATAGCCATTAATATATAGGTTTTACATTTCTATTGTTCTTTTTTATCGAAGTATAAAAATTCAACTAAGGGTCTTTAATTTAATTCAATTATAAATACTATTGAGTAAAATTTTGTTTCAACTATGCTTTTTATATATACTATTTATTTATTCTAACATATGCATGTGCACAAAATTAATGGTAGTTTTATAAATAAGAGTGGCTAATGACAACACATTTAAAGTAAATGTACTATTTACTTATATTTAGCATATTTTAATTGTAACTATTTTTTTAATAGTGCACATTTTTTGAAATTCAAGATTTAAAATAGAGTTTTAGTTATTTTACTTAATTTTTATAATTATTCTATTTTTATTTATATTACAATTAAAATAGTTAGTAGATTAATTTATGTAACACATACTATCATAAAAGAACATTATGTTATACATACTATTATTAACAGGTAAACTTAAATCATATTATGCATATTGTTTTAGTGAATAATTTAAACAAAATATTTTAAGATTATATATTTTTCACTTAACGAATAACTTTATTCCACAAAAAAATTGACAGTTTGTATGATGAAGAATTATTCTTCATTCAATCATCCTTAAATATATGCATATTCACCAAATTTGTCCTCTTTAGTTTTTTTTAATACTATTACAAAAAGTTTCTGTAGTAATAATATGATAGTTGGTAATTATAGATGGTATTTTCATTGATGCATATATATTTTACACTTATGAAATAAAAATATT